GGGAGAGGGAACACAGAGGACAGTAGCATGGATAACAGACTATAAGGGCTCTGTTGGGGGAGGGAGGTTATGGGAGGGTGCCATCTGGGAAATGGGTATATAGTTGAATAAGATGGTTTGGGATGTTCTGTGGGATACACACACACATACACACACACACACACACAAATCAACAAATTAAAAAAATGTATTATGTTTGAGGAGGAAGTGTAAAAATTTATGTCAAGTTAATTAGTAGAGGTGATAAACATTACCACTGAAATCTACCCAATGACTTTATATCCATACACAGGTGCCAAGGATCCGAGTGCATATATTTTAAAATGAAATGGAGATCTTCTTTAAAGGCTAAAAACTCATTCAATTTTATGTCTTACAGGGCTTATACTAGATTCAATACTGTATAACTATTAATTCAATTGTGAACCTAAAAATTTGCAGCCACTTTTGAAAGAGATGTATTCTTGCTCTGGAGTGTGTTACTGAATAGGTTAAAGCTGTAATGAAATGCTTCTTCTAAAAAAGAAAAGGTTCTTGTGATAATTAAGCAAGGTAACATATGGCTGCAAAGGTTACAGGAATGTGAAAACTTCGGAAACAAAGACTTCCATTCTGGGCAACCACAGGGGCAGGGTGGGGAGACTTCTGCTCACCTCCCCCATACCTGTCTCTTGCCAAGTTTTCCCTGCTGCAAAGTTTTTAATTGCCATCACATTGCAAAAGCTTTTCATTTCCATAATACTCATAGCATTAATTTTCCTACATTTCTTCCCAGGAACCCAGGGCTGGGGCTGGACAGGAGTTTCCTGAAGTTACATTAGAAATAAGACTGCCATCTTTGTCAAATTTAGAACAGCATTGATTATCCCAATATCTTTTGTTTTTACATCTGAGGCATATTCTTGGGGAAGCTGGGGCAGCAGAGGCACTAGCCTTTTGCTGAGTTTTTTATGATTTTTTTGTTTTGTCTTTTTTAAATACAGGGTCACCCTGTAGCCCCTGCTGGCCTGGAACTCCCTATGCAGACCTGGGTGGGCTTGAAGTCAGGGAGATCTGCCTGCCTCTACTTCCTGAGTGCTGGGATTAAAGGCATGCACCACCACTCACTGGGGTTTTTTGCTGGTTTTTTTTTTTTTTTTTTTTTTTTTTTTTTTTTTTTTTTTTTTAAAAAAAAAGAGACAGGGTCTCCCTATAGCCCCAGCTGGCCTGGATTCCCTGTGTAGACCAGGCTGGCCTCAAACTCATGGAGATCCACCTGCCTCTGCCTCAGGAGTGCTGGGATTAAAGGTGTGCACCACCACGCCCAGCGCCTCACTGAGTTTTTTAACAATTTTTTTAATGCCCTGTTTTTTCACATCTAAACCTTTTTACTCCTTTTGTTTTATCCTGTACGGCAGTAGCTAATAAATTAGCGTTATAAGAAGGGGAGCCAATGTCATGTTTAAACCCCTATGAGCAACGCTGATAAAGCGTAACACCTGTTGGCACTTAGCATTATTAAAAACCAACATTTTAAACAGCATATCCCAGGCATCATCATGGGAAACAGTTTTTTATAGCTTGTCCTGTAACTTAGCAACAAAATCGACGTAGGGTTCATGAGTTCCCTGTTTTAGCTTACTGAATGGGACGGCCATCTTTTGAAGTGGAGGAACTCACTTTCACGCTTTAACACAGCATGCTTTTAAGAGGCCTAGCAAAAGTTTCAGATAATCCTCCAGCCAAACAGTCTGAGTTTCAGATGGTTCCATTCCTACTTTTGGTGTCCCTGGCACCCTGAAGTTCAGATCCCTGTTCCAGCACCATGTGCGGCTGCCAGGGGGGCAGCTACTGGACCTGAATGGATTGCATGGAACTGAAAAAAGACCAGGGCACTCCTGCGGTTTTATTTCTTTACTCATCTCCTCGTCCACGAATGTGTGCCAAAAGCACAGGCTGCTCTTTTTCTTCTCATACTCAGAGCTACAGTTGAATGTTTACAGAATAGTGGATAATAATAAAGTGGCTAGAATATAGCAATGCAGTAAAATATAATGACCAGGGTAACAGTACCACCATAATATGCCTTGAGGGATAAAGGTGTCTCCTGAGAAATGAGGGAAGTACTGGCATTCGGGAGACAACTCCCCAGCAAATGTTCTTGCATGAACTTTCTCATGAGACAAGGCTCTCCAGGCATACATGTTCAAGTTTTTGCTGAATTTGCCAAGCATATTTTTTAAAGCCATAGGAACACTATTTCACAGCCCCTTTGGGATGCTATGATTAAAGAATATGAGAACCTGCTGAAGGGGCATTGAATCATGATCAGGGAGTAGGAGTACCTCTGGATCCCTACGGAAAAGGGCCATCAGGAAGAACGGCATCAGATATTAACTTGAGGCAGACGTCTTAGAAAGAGGAAGGAGAGCATAACTAACCCTATCAGAAGGTTGACATACCTATGCATCCTAGACATATGCAAGGCACAAGAAAGACTTGTCTAAGTTTGAAGGATGTTGGTAGTTATCTGTGTTTGGGAAGTGTTGTCCCTGAAGAGAACGCTCAAGACTTCCAAAAGTTCACAGGTGTAATGAGTCTCAGCAATGGGCTGGGGTTCTGTGGTCTCTCCAGATGATTTCGGCAAGGTCCAGTGTTTGGGTGTGGTAAATCCAGGCATCCAGTCTGCCTACTTGAACTGTTGTAGGAGTGGATAGGGTGATGAGATATAGACTCTCCCGTAGGGGTTGAACTGAGCCATGCTTGCCCGAGACCACAGTCCCGTACCCTGATCATTTTGCCTGTATCCTAACCAATTCTGATGCCTCCATTCTTAGAACAACAGCCCTGTTTTATCTTCTTTAGGAAGGAAGGAATGAGGGCCAGGATTGTTCAAAGCTCTAGAGAGGGGAACCGTCCTCTTTTGTGAATTTAAGTATCTCTGTAGAGTTTGATTATGGGGCTTGGTAAAGACTAGACTAACATCTACATTCAGGCAATGAGGACCATGTTCCCAGTTTATCTTGTGGCCAAGTCTGAAAAGGCGGTGGCCAAGTCAGTAGGTGGCATATTCTCAGTTCTCACTGCATGCTTTTCAAGACTGTTTTGGGGGGCTGGAGAGACGGCTCAGCAGTTAAGAGCATGGACTGCTCTTGCAGAGGACCTGGGTTCGAGTCCCAGCACCCACACGGCGGCTACAAACCATCCTTAACTCCAGCTCCAGGGGAATCTGAAGCCTTCTTCTGACCTCTGTGGCATTGCACGACATGGGTGCACTCACATACATGCAGGCAATACACTCATACACACAAAATAAAAATAATAAAAAATTTTTAAAAAGACTGTTTTGGCTATTTTGGAAGCTTTGCATTTGCATAGAAATACCAGAATCCGGGTATAATATACACACACAAACACATGCAAACTGCTAGGATTTTGACAGGCAATGTATTGACTATGCAGGTTAAATTGAGTAGCATTTACATGTGTGTAATCTGTATTTTCCATATCCATGAACACAGTGTTTAGGTTGACTTTTACACAACCCAGTGCTTGCCAGCCCCAGCCCCCATTTTCTTAGTGCTACCTACCTGCAAACTCTTGTTCATCTGCGGGCAGTAGATCCCTCTTGGTTCTTTCCACTGCCCATTGAGACTTTGAAATTCTTGGTTCTACAGAGTCTGTTACAATGCTGCCACTCTCTAGCACTCAGAAAATGTCACAACGTGGCTTGTGCAATGGTTCAACAGGTAAAGAAGCTTGCTGTTGAGCTTTATGACTTGAGTTTGATTCCCAAGAGCCACATAGTGGAAGGAGAGCACTGATTCCTGAAAGTTGTCCTCTGATCTACACACACATACACACATACACCACAGCATGTGTGTGCTTACACGCATACACATAGCATACTGGAGAGCTTCAATTGTCAACTTGACACACCTGGGAAGAGGGAAATCTTAATTGAGATTGACTCTCAGACTGGCCTGTGGGCATATCTGAGGCATTTCCTTGATTGTTGAGTGAGGTAGGGGGGCTCAGCCCACCGTGGGTGGTGCCATCCCTGGATATGTGGTCCTGGGTCATATAAGAAAGCAGGCTGAACACAGGCCCGAGGAGCAAGCCAGTAAGCAGTGTTCCTCTGCAGTCTGTGCTTCAGTTCCTGCCTCCAAGTTCCTGCCCTGAGCTCCTGCCCCGGCTTCCCTCCATGATGAATTATAAGTTGTAAGGTGAAACAAACCCTTTCCTCCTCAAGTTGCTTTTGGTCAGAGTTTTATTACAGCAATAGAAAGTAACTAGAACACATAGACACACACACACACGCACTAAAAAAAGAAAATGTCAAAAAGTATTTGAAGCTTTCAAAAATTGTCAGATGATGGGGCTGGAGAGTTAATTCAGTTGTTACAAGTACTGGCTGCTCCTGCAAAGGACCTGGGTTCGATTCCCAGCACCTACATGGTGACTAACAACCATCCTAACTCCAGGAGATCTGGCGCCCTCTTCTGACCTCTGAGGGCATTGCACGGCATTGGTGCACTTACATGCTGGCAATACACTCACACACATAAAAATAATAAATATTTTTTAAAAGCTGTCAGATGACAAAATTACAACCATTTAGTCATTTGGGACAACCTCCAATATACAGAATCAAACAGGAATTCCCACTGGGCAGTAGCAGAGTAGTATTCTTTGTAAAGTGGAAACAAGCAGACAGAAAAACAGAACCAAAGTGGTTTACATCAGATTATTCAGGTCAGGTAACTTTGGTGTACTTTAAAAAGTTAAAGTTGGGGCTGGAGAGATGGCTCAGTGGTGAAGAACACTGACTGTTCTTGCAAAAGACCCAGGTTCAAATCCCAGCACCCACATGGCAGATAACAACTGCCTGTAACTCCAGTTCCAGGGGATCTGACAGCCTCTTCTGTCCTCCGTGGGCATTGCACGACATGGGTGCACTTACTTACATGCAGGCAAAACGCTCATGCACACAAAAAAAAAAAAGCATTTAAGCTGAGGGAACTTCCTTATTATTCTAATTCTGGTAGATTGGTAGGCTGGAATCTCCTGGAAAAACTAGTCTGTTTAATATGTATCTATTTTGTTAAAGTTTGTTTGTATGGGATGGTGAAATGGCTCAGCAGATAAAGGTACTTGCTGCCAAGCATGATGACCTGAGTTCAATCCCTGGGACCTACATGGTGGAAGGAGAGAACTGACTCCCACAAATTGTCCTCTGATCTCGTCATACATGTTTTAGTGCACACAGATACAGACATACACACAATAAAAGTAATTAAGGGGAAAAAATTGTTACTGGGCATTTAGCACAGTGGTTCCATCTTTTGATTTATTTCTTTTTTTTTAATTAAAAGAAGCATTTCATTACAACAGCATTAACCTATTCAATAACATTTTTCTGAGCTAGGGTACATCTCTTTCAAAATTGGCTGTACATTTCTAGGTTTACAGATGAATTATTACGCTTATATAATCTTTTACTCATTATAAACTCTATAAGACATAAAAGATCAGTTAGTGGGGCTAGCAGGATGACTCAGCAGTAAAGATACCTGCTACCATGCCTGATGACCTGAGTTCTATCCCCAGGACCCATGTGGTAGAAGAAGAGAATCAGCTCTCACAAGTTGTCCTCTAACTCCACACGTGGGCCATGACACGGGCACATACACATACACACACAC